GCATCAATCCTTGATGATCTTTTCTTCCAGTGCTTATATGACAAAAGAAAATCTTTTGATTGTTGCAATGGGCAGATATGTACACTTGGGCAGTGTGATGTGTAATTGGCTTTATAATATGGTATGACGTCAAGACTTCTATAAAGCTTTACCACTTCTTCTTCTTACATCACCCAAATGCATACTTTCCCCTAGCTTCCTGATGTCTGGAACTCCACATTCAGGAACTAATGTGCTTATGGTCCTTTCTTGAAAGAGGGTTTTTCCTACTGTGGAGATAAAGAGAACCCTCAGGGTGGGACAAGGCCAGGAAGTTTTTTCCCCCCTTATTCAGCACCATTTAATGTGTGTGTGTGTGTGTGTGTGTGTGTGTGTGTATTTTACTCAAAAATTAGGAAATATCACATTTTCTGAAGAGCAAGACATTTAATACATTTAATACATTCAAATGAAAAACATAATATTCATGCTGTAGGTTTTCGATCTTTCTTGGACAACACAAAAGACACAGTACTCAAACTGTATGTTTTAACAAGAGGAGACAGATAGTGGTTGGGTGATGTGAGAATGATATTTAAGAGGAACATTCACAATACTAGACACCAAATACCAAGCAGGAAGTAAGGATATAGTAAAGGAGGATCTGGTGATGGTCCGTATTGGCTCAAGGTCTCCCACAAGGCCACAATGAGGTGTCATCTGGGACTGCAGTCCTCTCGAGCCTTGACTGGAAGAGGATGTGCTTCCAGCTCACTCAGTGGCAGGCCCCACCTGACCCACTTCCATGCCCACTCACATGGCTGCTGGCTGACCTCAGGTCCTCAATGGTCAGAGACATCAGTTCCTTGCCATGTGGACTTCTGAATAGCACAGCTCACAACCTTACTAGCTTCCCTCAGATCAAGTAAGTAAAAGAGTGAGAGAAAGNTTCTGAATAGCACAGCTCACAACCTTACTAGCTTCCCTCAGATCAAGTAAGTAAAAGAGTGAGAGAAAGGGTTCAATATGGAAGTTGCTGTCTTTTTGTAATTCAATATTAGAAGTCACATTCTATCACTTTTTCCATATTCTATTCATTAAACGAGTCACCAGGTCCAGCCCACATTCCAGGGGAGGAGATTATACAAGGGTATATATGACAGGAGGTGGGGATAAATTAGGGCCAATTCGGAGGCTGTCTGCTATGACTACTAAGATAACTCTAAAGAATACCCTCGGGCTGAGAGACAGCACCAAAGGAGGGTAAACCTTTAGAAAAAACGGGCCCCTCCCCAAGGCTCAGGGGATGGTTGTGGCCCCCTGGGTGGTGGGGACGTTCACCGGGTTGTCCTGTGTCAGAGTTGATCTACAATCACTGGCCAAGTTTGGTAAGCAGACGACATCCTGCTGGGGAGAGGGGAGGCTGAGACTGGCATGCAGGAAAACACAAGCTGACAGGTGAGCAGGAAGTCTTGGCACAAGGCTGATGAGCAGGAACCATTCGCTGGGGTTTCAGCAAGTTTCATGACGGTGAGATCCAGCGGTGTCCCTCACACATGCTGCTGGCCCATGGCTTGAAGCTGAGTTTCAGCTTACGTGGGAGCTCATTTACTTCTGGTTCACCCTTACCCTTACGAGGAGACACCTTTGAGTCACAACAAAAACAGGGGACATTTAGCAGGACTCCCACCCATAGTGTGTCCTGGGCTCCAACTTCTGTCCTCCTAGCTCTGAAAGGCTGGAAAAAAAGATGCCGCTTCCCAGAACTGGACTAGCAAATGCCCAGGGTCAGCAAAAGTGGCCTCAGAATGACAGATTCACTTCTTGGGGAATGAGGAACAATAATTCATTACCTCGTTAACACTGTGATGGCTTCAAGCTAATCAAAATACACATATGCATATATTAGGTATCTATCTATCTCTCCATTGTCTATCTGTCGTCTATCACGTATCATCTTCAACAGAAAAGTTGTTCTTAATTACCTAGTTCTCCAGTCTTGGTGGTAGAAGTCAGACTTCAGGATCACTGTGAGAGCCCTCCGTTCCTCATCCTGGGAGCTGGAGTAAGTTCAGAGATTCCCAAGTTGCAGTAAGGTTGAAGGGTGAACCCTTGAATTATATCTGACCTTCTTCTGCATTGGTGTAGGAGCTGTGCAGGTCTGAAATTGCACAAGAAAGGTATTAGCAGACCCATCAGGACATGTGAGGATTGAGGAAGTCTGTGTCCAGGAACTAGGTCAAGAGTAACAAGGGCGAGGGTGCTCAATAGAAATTTGATACAAATTCTCTCTTTTGACAATTTTGTGAGAGACCAGTTTAGGTGAATTTGACCATCAGGAACTTCACAGAAATGTTTTCATGTTATTTTTCCAATTCCAAAGTAGTTGAAAAAGTAGGTGAATGATTATTATCATGGGGGTGCTTTGGATAAAATTTATCCTGAGTAAGTGCTCTAACACCTTTAGACTGTCATATTTTTTTTCTTCTAGAATCTTTATCCATCCATCCATCTAGATATTCACAATGAACAATCCATATCTTTTGAAGGAGTTAAGTATTTGTAGAAAAAATATTGTTACTCAG